TGGATTTACATAATATTTTAGATTTTAAAGTAACGTTAGTTGCGTATAATGTGCGACTCACATGATCCACATTGCAAAATGCGGATCATCTATAGTGTACAAGAAAAGAAAAAGATGAAAAAGAGAAGAAAAAAATGATGATTATATGTATGTTTGGGAAAACCATGTAAAAGTAACATTTTCAAAATATTTATGATTGTCCATTTATAATTTAAATTTGTATAATTAAGAAAGAGATTATTATTCAGAAAAGGAAGAGTATATATAGTAGTGAGTTACGCATATTAGAATAAAATTCTTAAGTTCAGCAATGTTTGTTTCAGTTTTTTTTTTAACCGAAAAGAACCAATAAGTGGTTCCTTCATGATTCCATTCAATTTTTACACCTTTTTATAACTTCGGTAACAGAATTTGATTTGGTTCGGTTTAATTTTTTTTCTAAACCCAACTGATAAAATTAATGGTTTAGTTCATTGAAGCGATTCGGTTTAAAAAAAATAAATTCGGTTTTTAAAATTATTCAAGGAAAAATAATTATTTATAATGCGGATTCGAAGAAGAAAATATGTTAGGGCACAATGCCAGTTACAAATTTCATAATTTTCATTGACTTTTTCTTCTCTATTCACAAACTTTCCATAAATATTAATAATCATCCTAAATAATAATTAATATTTAATAACTAAGATTGTTGGAATATTTAAGTGTGATGAGTCCCACATTGGTTGGTAATGGACTAAGTGAAGAGTATATAAGTAGAAGGGACCCATGAATCCAATGCCTTAAGATTTTGGGTTAAGACATGGTGTCGGATTCACTTGCTACGGTTGGTGTAGCCTTAGCTCATTGGTGGTGGCCCCCATCACGGGCTTACCCTGGACTCGCCTGACATTGGTATCAGAGCCGGGTTTGGCTCGATCTAGCCTGGTGATTGGCTAGGAGGCGGGTTGAGTACTTGGGCCAGGAGTACTCAGTTGAGGGGAAGCATACCAATGGTGGGTTTCACACTTGAGGGGGAGATTGTTGGGATATTCAAGTGTGATGAGTCCCACATTGGATGGTAATGTGCTAAGTGAAGAATATATAAGTGGAAGCATACCAATGCCTTAAAGTTTTGAGTTGAGACATGGTGTCGGATCAACTTGTTACGGTTGGTGTAGTCTTAGCTCATTGGTGTTGGCCCCCGCCACGGGCTTCCCCTTGGCCCGCCCGACAAAGATAATGAATAATATAATTATTATTATTATTTTAAATTTTTTATATTAGTATTGTTGAATTAATTAATAATTAACATCTTAAATGACTTTCTTTTGTCTGATTTTTTTAATATTTTATTTTTGAACCTCCGCAAATTAAATAATATTAAATATTTTTTTTTAAAATATACTCGTATATAAATAATTATTTTGAGATCCGTCAAAGGATACTATTATAAAATATATTTTTCTGAATAATAATCTTAAAAAATATATTATGTTGCTTAATTTTAAGAATAAATATTCAGAAAATATATTTCATTTTTAATTCTTAATAAAATTAGAGTAAGAAAGGACATAAATAGGTTTATAGGTAATTTTTTTTAAAAAGTACAATGAATGTTAAGGAAGGTATTTCGGATTTTGTAAATTTGAATAAATGTCTTCATTTCGATGTCATCATACATGGAAGACAAAGTCAATTGTTCTTTTTCCTAATCGGGCCAACAATGATCCCATTGAGTTGAACTTCAGCTTAACAGGGCCCAATTTTAAGTGCGGTGAACCATTAAAAATCATTCAAGTTAGAAATTCTTCTTTGACCCCAAAAAAATAACGTATAATAATAATTAAAATAAAAAATTATGAACATTCTTCGGTCAATTATCTTAAAACTAAAGTCATCTTAAAAGTTTAGAAGAATATATGGTATGATTCGTTGTTATATTCTTTACACTGTTAATTAAATTTAGTTTGTTATTAGTTTATTTTTTTATTAGTATCGGATTATATATTCTCACATAATAATATAAAATTAAACATGTTATAAACTATTTTATACAGAAAAGAACACCATCCATTACTATATTCAGAAAATCAATGGGAAAACCTGTTGTTTCAGCGGTTAGCTCTACGACCGGAGTTATTGCAGATTTGCCGAACCTCGTTGCATTCCAGCAGCTCCCAGACACGCAAAGCTGAAAATGGAAGCCTCACTACTCACTAGGGTAGCGATTCGTATGATTGTCGTTGCCGAATCGGATTAGAGTAATTATGGGGTCCCAAGAGAGATCCTTAAAAGCTTTCATTTTTATTAATTCTACATGATTCGTATCACCATAATTTTGAAGGGTATACATCTTAGCACTTATTTCTATTACTTATTATTATTATTCAATTCCAGATTATTAAATTATAAAACTTAGGAAATAAAACTGATATATATTATTTAGAACTTGAAGGTCTAATCCCCATTTCCAGCCTTTTTTCTTATTTTGCTTCAATTGCTTTGGGCAACCAAGTAGTGACATTGTATATTTGAGTCTTGTTTAACTGAATCAAAATCCACAGCTATTGTTAATTCAATTCCTATGTTTTTTAATTTTAATGCTATCCCAGCTACGGAGCTTCTGGTTACTGAATATACTGTTACCAACTTGGTTTAAAGGGACATACTTGGATTAGTAAAGCATGCGGTAGATAAGCAGGTTGTCCCTTTTAATTTTAATTTTCTTTTTATAGATTAATGTATTGCGGCCTCAGATGTCCTAATTGTTCACCTCTTTGTTGACTTTCAGGTTAAAGAATGAGTGATTCAGATTTATATGAAGTGTAGAACAACGTAATTTTTTTCCATATTTTGCTTAACGATTGGACTTCATCAATGCTTCATTTTCTTTTTAATTATCATTAACTTGTAGGATTTAAATTCAATTCTGTAATGTGTACTATATAATAGGTTATTGTTACTATCATTTTATTCAGTAAAACGTTGAAAATAATGAGTTTCAAATCTTTTATGCTGACCATTGTTTTTCTGCATTAGTGTGTTGTCTCTTCATTCCTGAAAGAAGTGGTTCTTCTGTCCATTTTCAGGAAAAGGTTACAGTAACTTAATTAAATGCATTTTTTTATAGCTTATGCATGCCTACAAGAGTATTATTTTCTTTCCATTTTTCATAAAGCAGCAAGTTGAATGTCTGGTTTGAATGAGGCTTTCATCTATACTCCTCAATTCTATTGGAGATCATACCTAGAAACATTAATTATTGACTCCGGATACAAACTAGCATGTACAGTGTTGATTTGTGCATTACTTGCAAAACTTCTAATTAAACATTAAGTCAATTTTTGTGATCCTTTTGCGTGTTTTGTACATAGGTAAATTTTTGTTGCCTTAGTGCCAACTTAATTTTTCTCATTCTTAAGTAAGGATGTGCATGGATCGAACCGAATCGTTTTTTTTTTAAAACTGAACCGAATTGGTTTAAATGGTTCGGTTCAAACTAGTTCAGTTCGGAAGTGGTTCGGTTCGGTGGGAAACGGTTCGGTTCGGAACCGGTTCCGAACCGGTTCAGGTCGACCCTCTTTTTAAAAGAAAAAAAATTAAAAATTTAAAAAATAAAGTTATAAAAATCAATTTGGTTTGGTTTGAAAACGGTTCGGTTTGGTTCGAAAATGATTCGGTTCGGTTCAAAATGGTTCGGTTCTTAAACTGGTTCTAAAAACCGGTTCGGTTCTTAAACTGATTCTAAAAACTAGTTCGGTTCATGAACTGGTTCTTTAAAAATCGGTTCGGTTCATGAACTGGTTCTTAAAAACCGGTTATTTTAAGGGGCGGTTCGGTTCGGTTCAGTTTTTTGGTTATTTTGCACATCCCTGTTCTTAAGCCACATGAAACTTCTAGATTGACTTGCAAACCACAGAAGTGTAGTACTGTTTGAAAATATCAACTTCAAGTACTGATTTTTTAAACAACTGAACATATTGAGGAGTGAGAATATAGAAAGCACTTGCATTTTCATTCAATCAGGCAATGACTCCAATATAATTCCAGTTTGTGCTCACCAATGCTGCTATTAGTTCAGGGTGATAAGTGCTACTGACAACTACACAATATTAGAGCAGGGATAAATAGCCAGATACGCATACTCAAGTTAGTCAAATCTAAGTCTGAACAGTTAGGACCAAGAATGCTAACAAATACATTTTTTTGGGAGTAGGTCTCGTGACAGCTAGATACAGCAAGATATATTAAAACAATTTGTGTAATATACCAAGTGTCGCATGAGAATCTCTTTCTTTTTTTCTTCCTTATTCTACCAGATTGAATTCCCCTAGTACGTTTATCTCCTGTACCAAACGCCCCTTAAGAACATAAGTTTCTATCTTCATAAAAATTTCCTGACTTAAGATTCTTAAATTTTGCACTGACTTGTTGAGTTCAATAAGTTCGCACACTTTCTGGTTTTTATGATATATAGCCTGGTTTTATATATCTAATGCATTCTGTATCTCTTACACTGCTTGTATATTTTCCATATCGTTCAAATAGTGAGTATCTGTACCCCTATCCCTATGTGGATTTCTTCATGAATGTAATTGTTGTCTACGATTTGTTTGTTCAATTTTTTTGAGTTGTGTCTTTAACTTTCATTATCTCCTTTTCTCCATTCAAGTGACATTGAAGTTGTTTTAAATTGTTGCTTGATACCCGACATGCTGAAGGAAGTCACTCTGCTTTTAAACAGATCAGCTTAATCTTCAAAATCTTACATTAATATTATAAAGCAATATTCTAATTCTTCAACCCTACATTTTCTAAAAATGAAATTGATATACAGAATAACCTTTCATTTCTTCAACTTTTTGGGGTAAAACTTCATAACAAATTTAAGTATTAGTGTGTTGATAACATAAAATTGTGCTTGCGTATCAGTAAGTATGTTTTTTTTTTTGAATGTTTAAATCAGATTTGTTAACTTAATAATCAAGGATTCTATAGACAAAAAAGATCTAGCGAGTTCACAGCTGTTCTACATACATGTACTTCCTTAGAACAATGATACACTAATATTGAATGAAGTACCTTTTGATTGAATTTTTCCCTCGAAAACACTAGTAATTCTGCTAGTGTGATTTTAGGCAATGTCATTTACCTTCCCGTTTGTCCTTTCTCCAGTCCCATGGCTTCTCAGGATTTTTTGAAGCCCATAATCCAATTCGCCTTGTTCTAGCTTCTTTTTCCCACTAGTATCAGAACATAAGAAGGTTTAGATATAACTTTGAAAATACGATGAAGGAAACCTGAACATGAGTTAGCACTTACTGCTTCAAACTCAGGTCGTTTGTCGTATGCAGTGTAGTGCCATGCTAAACCCTTCTTTAACATCAGTTCCTTATCATAATGGAAAAGGAAAATAAGAAACATAGATATTCATAGGATGCATGGAGCTAAAATAAACTAAAATGTATAAGATTAATACCTGTACAAAAATACCATTACAATATATATCACCTACTGAACGACCATAGCGATCTTCACCATAAACAAAGATCCTCAAGGATTTCCCTTGAACAATCTTGGTCAATTCAATTTTAGCTTCCTTGCCGTATGGCATTGCACTCTCTGGTGCATCGATTCCCCTGTTTTATTTTTAAAGTTCATTAACAGCTTTCACAGCTAATGTAAACATTCTAATACTAGGATTTGTTCGATAATTACCTGAGTCGAATCCTATACTTTTTAGCTAAGATTTCCTCATTTTGAAGAGAAATCACCCTAAGAAAGAAAACATTTTAAAAAAATGTAATGTTGGAAGCACGGGTATTCAGAATTAGGAAAATACAAACTAACCGGTATCCTGAATCAATAATTTGTTGGTGAAATGCATCTGCCTCTACATAGTTCCTCTGAGCACGGGCTTCTGATCTTTGCACGGCTGCTGCGTGCACATTGCCAGGAACAAATGATGATTCCCTAGGGTCTGCAGTGCTAACATACACTGTTATAGTATCACCATCTGCCACTGCTTTGGCATCAACCTAATTCCATTCAGATAATGATGAATTATATCAACTAAGGTCCATCACATTTTCAGCATATAAACAAGGTTTTATAGACTGAGTAATAAGGTTATTATTCTTACTGGCAAGGTATGCATTTCATATTGTACTCCATCCGGCAAGGATGTAGGGATTTGAACAACTACTTCCTCAAGAGTGTGTGGTAGAGGAAGGCCATAAAAAGCTAACAATCCCTAAAAATTAAGCCACATAATTCTTCATTTGTGATGACATTTGTCTTTGTTATACTTCATGTTTTACAGCATGCTTAAATCTAAGTTAGAAAGTACATGCAAACCTCAACATCTGCTTTTTGATGCCTTTTCAAGGTGTGAATGACAAGTCTAGCTGCTTCTTCAGGGGTCTTGGGAGGGGGTTTTCCCTCTTTCCAAGCATTTACCAACTTTCTATACCTTCAGAACATGGTAAGAAGCGAAAAAATGGCACTACAGTTAACAGTTGAACGAACATTTTATAATAATCAATTTAGCATAAGAATGCGATGAGTACCAATTAGCCTGAGCCTTCTTAGAAGACACAACATGCTTGCTCAGTCCTTCAGGAACCTTAAGAGATCAAAGGAAAGCATACAGATCCCACAAATTACGGTGTTTGATAAAGAACATCACTATGCAAAGTTAGCTGAAAAAAATACAATTACACAAAACGGTTAGTTCGTGGTTGCAAAGTTAATAATACCTGGGAGGTGATCTCGAAATGAAAGAGATCGTGGGCAAGTGCTGAAACACCAACGGTGGCAGAGGACACACCGTGTGGTCCAAGCGAATCAGAATCACCAGCAGCGGTTGGCTTGCAGCAATGGCCGTAGAGGAACCTGAGGGCGTTTCCCATTGTTGAATTGATCCAAGGTTGAAACTTTGGAGAAAAGAAAAAGGGTAAGAGATCAAAGGGGGAGAAAATCTAGGCGTGGCAATAATTGCTATTGGGATTGCGTAGAGGGAAATGAAACCCCCCCTAAACAAAAGTGACAGGTGGCAAGTTATGATTTGCTGTTCTGAGTTGTACTCTGGCGAACCCGACTTTTTGCAAACATCGGAGCTGTGAAACTGCGAAGGGTTTACCACGTCAACGGTTTAACGTAAAATTTGAACCACATTGCTGCGCGTGAAGAAATTCCACCTTGGTCAGCAGCCATAAATGTAGGCCAGTTGTTGCAAAATAGTAAAGTAAAAAATGTTTATCCTTTTAAATATGGTTATTTTATTAAAAATTAATAATATTTATTTAAATTTTAAATTTTAAAAAATTCTCCCATAATTTTTATTATGTATTTTTTATTATTTAAAATAACATAATTCTATATATTTTAAGATGTAGTTAGATATTTATATTATCACTTCTTTTTTTACTATTAATCCACTAGTACTTTAATCATAGTTGGATCAAATTTTTCACCAAGAAATGAGCTCAAGAGAGAGATAAAAGTTATTGAAAAGTTTGATCCAACGATGATTAGAGTGATAGTTAATTGGTAATAAAAAAAAGTAATAGTATAAATATCCTACCTCATCTTTTAAAAGTACAAACATTAAATCCATAGTTTAAAGGAAATAAAATTTTTAAAGATAAAATTTTTTTGGAAAGAAAATTTGAAAAAAAAAAACTATATATATTTTTTGGTATAGAAAGAAATAAAACAAACTAGCTATAGACCATTCTAGATGTGTACACACCCATAAGGTCATTCAAAAACAAACGGTGACAACTAGGTGGAGGTTCTTCAAACACCCTGAACTCCGACTCTTGCTTGAGAGCATCTCCTGCCAAACAATCGGCGACAAAATTTCCTTCTCTAGACGTGTGGAATATCCTTATGATCCAAAGCTTGTGGATGAAAGCCTGAATCCTCCTCACCAGGGTAGCGAAAGGGTTGTACATATCGCAGTTGCCAGTGATAATTTGGGTGACTGTAAAGGAGTCACATTCGAGCCAAAGTTTGGGAATCCTTCTATCCCAAGAAAGCTTCAAGCTTAGGAGAACACCCCATAACTCAACAAGGAAGGAGTTCCTATAGCCAAAAATTTGGAGAAGCTCAAAATCCAGGCACCATCACTATCTCTAAGCACTCCACCACATCCCATCTTCCTGGACTCATGGACACAGGCTCCATTGGTATTCAACTTGGACCACCTTTCCTCAAGAAAGGACCACCTGATGAAAACCGCCTTCCTAGGATTAGGGTGAATGCCAACATATAGCAACAAGGAGTCGGCCAGCTCTATATTAGAAACAAAGGTCTTAATTTGAAAGCATAGACTAGCCTGACTATAGGACTTGTCGTTGAAGACAAGGTTGTTTCGTTCATGCCAAATGAACCAACAAGCCTCTCCAAAAATTCTTGACCATCTAAAGTACACTCTTTACTATGGGAAGACTTGAGGTTACAAAGAGCAAAATTGAGGTCGAAAGCTCCTTTGACATTGTGGCCATCATTCAAGCAAAGCTAGACCGAACTGACCTAAGTACAACCTCTAAATATGTGATTACAATCTTCATTCGGGGCACCACACCGAGGGAAAGCATCAAGGAGGCCAGGTGCCTTTTAAACCTATGAGCATTGGTCATTAGGTTGTCACCAAGGAGTAACCAAAGGAACATTTTTATTCTTTGGAGGCCCTCCCACTTCCAAGCTAGGGACCAATTAGTCTCAATGGTAAAGGAAACAAGAGGACATAAAATGTTATACGCAGAGTTGACTTTGAACCTACCGTCAGTAGATAGATCCCAACAAACTCTATCTTAGCCATTATCTAAATAAGGAAGAACTAACCTAACAATGAGGTCAAGAGCATGGTTAGGAAACATGTGTTTAAACTTGTTCCAGTCCCAAGCACCCCAACGAGTCACATAGTCTGCCACCTTCCAGTCCAGGGAGTCATCAGGGATATGTCCTGAAAGAACACTTGCAAGGTTTTGCAAGTTAGGAATCCATTCGTCAAACCAAAATTTTGTTTGGGTGCCATTGCCAACGAGGATCCTAGAGCCAACTTTAATATAATGCCAAGATTTTGAAATACCTCTCCAAAGTTTGGAGGCTTTGCTCCTCAAAGAGATATCTGGGACGAGATCCTTTCCTCGACGATATATACTCCGAAGGACCCTAGCCCACAGCGCATCAGATTTTGTTAGCAGGCTATGACCAAGTTTCAAAGTGAAGGCTTTGTTAAAGGAACACAGATTTCTCAACCCTAAACCTCCAACACTCCGATGAGAACAAAGTCTATCCCAATTGACCAAGTGAATTATCCTACGAGAGGAAGTGGAGCCCCAAATGAAACCACAGTTACTCTTTTCAACAACATCGCAAACATTAAGGAGGAGGACAAATGTTTGCATAGAGTACGTAGAGAGGGCAGTAAGGACAGATTTCGCTAAGGTAACTCGACCTGTAAGGGACAAGGATGTTTCACATATTTTGCTATCTAACGTGCATAAGACGTTAATTGACATACATAGTCTTTCAATTATGTGCAATGTAACATGGTAATGTTTGGGAGATCACTGATCCAGCGTTGTACGGCAAAAAATTTAAAAATTATAATTTAAATAAAAAAGTGATTTACAAAATATTTAAGAAAGTATTGCAATCAATTATACAGAAACAGGCGCACTGGGGGACCAGTTATGCCTTTCATGAACGTCGTCCTTATTTGTCACCTATTATGATATGCGTCTTCAACTATCTTCATTTATTTTGGAATATAGATGCCTATTTTATGATAAGTTCAATAAATTTTATATAATATCCTTTCCATTGAAATAATGAGTCACCATTATTTGTTATTGTGGAATAACGAGACATTAGAATAGGAATTAAATAACATCGTCCATAAAAATACAATATACCAAATGGGCAGAAGGAAGAGTTTTTTTTTTCAAATTTTTTTTGACCAAATACCCTCGAAAATTTTCCATTGTGTAGATTATGAAAATTTAAATGGAATAAAAAAATATTCAATTCGAACACTCGAGCCAAAATTATGTCATTCCAAAGTTTTAGGGTATTACATGTGAGTTGCGCATTGATTTGGGCACAATACATGGAAAAAAAGCACACCAAAACAGGTGCAACAAGCATTGAGTTGTGTTTGTTTATGTGCGCAACTAGTCGCGCGTAAAAGAAGACGTATCTATGTGCTTGTTGATCCTTTTTTTATGCACAATCATTGCGCTTAATACTGTTCGCAACTGGTTGCAGTACTTCCGTAAATAGTAGTCAAATCACTATATTTTTGAAATTTTTTTATTTAAAGTCTTTCACGGTAACACTATTTTAAATTAGATGACTAATATGTTATTTCAGGTTGCGTCGTGTAAATTGTCATCCAAAATATTAAAATAGCGTAAAACGTGCATGTATTATTAGGGCATTTATTAGTTAGTGTTTCATAAACAGAGAATAAATTCTATTGTGCGAGTTTCAAAACAGCAGCTAAGCTTGCTTTACTGGCGTGCAAGGGAGGACCTACATAGGGGCTAGGGTGGGCCCTACCCCTCTAAATTTTGAAAGAAAAAGTTACGTTACTTGTCTGATGTTGGATACTCTCCAGATGCTTCTTACACACCGCCGAAAACAAAGACCTATCATCGTAACACCAATCCTAAGCCACCATCTCACATAAAACCTAAAAGCCAAAAATAGAATGCAAAATAAAACCAGAATCCACAACACACCCTCAAAACTATTCACAGTACTTGCAGAAACTCTGAAGCAAGCAGCTTCAACCCAAATCTCCAACGTATAACCCCTACCTTCACCCAAACCAGAGTTAGATTAGATTGGGTCTCCGTTTTTTTTGTTAGTGGGTTGAAGTTTTATCATTGATTGGGCTTAAATTGTTTGGTTTCTCTTGTGGGATTAAACAGAAGCAATTGTTTGACTTTGTTTTCATTTTTAGAAACGATTGTTGACTTTGTTTTGATTTCTAGAATTTAGTTTACTAAGTTTCAATATATATATATATATATATATATATATATATATATATATATATATATATATATGAGGTAGGATCCTTTGACACCGGTGTCAAATTTGAAGTTTGACACCTCATCTGAAGGTCGTTAGTGTCAAATTTGAAGTTTGACATCTCATCTTATGGCCGTTAGATCAAAAAAGATCAATGGCATCACATGCTTACGAATCAGAGTCGTTAATCTTTTTTTATTTAACGGCTCTCAAATGAGATGTCAAAATTGAAATTTGACATCGGATATATATATAACCATTGAATACTCTGTTTTCATGCTCATTGAATGCTTTTATAATTAACCCAACATATAATTCTAATAACTCAGTGAAGGAAACTCAAAAATATTTTATTTTATTTTTTGTAATATATTCATTTTTGTTATTTTTATTAGGCTTAAACAAAATATTTTTTAATGCACCCACTTACATGTACCAATTTATTTTGTTTAGGCATTATTTCAGCCTTATGTTTACTTTAATCTTGAAGTCCCAATAATTTCACTACTTTTCTTGTTTTCTTTCTTGCTTTTGGATTCTGTTATACGAATAAAGTAATAAGTGATTACAACTGATATGTGATTGCTTGGAGTGTTAGAGAACTAGCATATGTTTCATTGTATTTTACCATTTTTTTCTACTTCTTTAAACTGTTTTATAGAATAGTTAATGAAATAAGTATTTTATATTTTTTTATTTTGAAAGTTAGATGTCAAAATACAAAATATGAACAACTGAAATATACTTTTTAAATTTGATTCTAAAAATTAAAAAATAGTTATAATTTTTAGAATTATTTTTACAAAATAAATATTATTAAACAGATTTATTTTTTTTCAGAAAATTTAAAATTATTTTTGAACACAGAATTCAAACGAATCCCTAGATTCTGAAGCGTTTATGTTTTGATATAAACAATGTACGTTGTCGGTTGGTAAAAATTAGGATCTTTTGTGATATTTAATTTCACAAAGATGGAGAATTGAAGATCAATGAAAAGTTGGGTTTGAAATTTGAATACTCTGTGCAAGAATCAAAGTTTGGGACAACAATCAAAATATCAGGTTATTCACAAAAAATTAACTTAATGTCATGGATCAAAATTTTTTTCTCCAAAATACCACGTCACTTAACTCGTTACAATACCTGACGACTTAGATGTGGACAAGAGACAACAGATTCATGGTCACATAAGCTGCTGCACAGTGGAGCAAGATTACGTGACAGACAGTGTGTCCAACTCGCTATGCATGACACGTGGCCATATATGCTGTGCTGCATAGCATATTATATGTAAGTAGTTCAACAATCCAGCATTTTTGAACTAATAAATTCACAATTTTCCTTCTCATTTCTTGCATCATTGTGGTCTATTAAATTATAGGATAATTTTAATTATTGAATTTTGTATTTTGAAATAAAAAATTTTAAGGAAAATTAATATTGGTTTGAATATTTTAGTTTTAAATGACTTATGTTAAAATAATTTAATTTAGAACTGTTAATTTAATTTAATTTGTGTGTGTTAATTAATTTAATTTAATGTAGGAGTGTTAATTAATTTATTTTAATTTATTTTATGTTAAGTTAAATTATTTTTAACTATTAAGTAAATTTTTTGTTATAAATAACTATTAAGTAATTTAATTCATTCTAGGAGTGTCAATGAATTAAATTATATTTATGTTTGTTAATTATTTTAGTTTAATTTTGTCTATATTAATTTAAATTATTTTAGAACTATTAATTAATTATTTTTAAGAGTGTTAATTAATTTCATTTAATTTAGTTTATGTTAAGTTAATTTTTTTTGAAATATGAATTAATTTAATTTAATTTAGGAGTGTTAATGAATCAAATTTAATTTATGTCTGCTAATTAATTTAGTTTAATTTTATCTTTATTACTTTAAATTATTTTGTAAATTTTACTTAATTATTTTAGGATTGTTAATTAATTTCATTTAATTTAATTTATGTTAAGTTAAAATTGTTTTGAACTATTAAGTAATTTAATGGAATTTAGGAGTGTTAATGAATCAAATTTAGTTTATGTCTATTAATTCAGAAAAGCTGACATGTAACATGCCAAGGTGGCACGTAACATATTATGCAACATAACGAGTTTGAAACGCTATCTGCCACATAATCTCGCTATATTGCGCAGCGACTTACATGGCCATGTACTTGTTGCCACGTGTCCACACCTAACTCGTCAAATATTCGTCAGATGTTATAGCAAGTTAGATAACGTGACATTTTGGAAAAAAAGATTTTGATCATTCAAATAATTTTTACTGAATAGTGTGACATTTTGGTCATTGTGCCTCAAAGTTTTAGAAGATTATCTCGCCCAAAAGAAATTTTTTTGGGGATACAGTGTGGCAAGTCGTACCTCAATTGTTTACGATTGAATTGTTTCATCAGTCAGCACCAAGTGCCTCTGCTTTTTCAAGGAACACGTGTTAGGTGCTTTGGCAAAGCTGAAATGTATGTCATCCGGATAAAATATAGGCCCAATCAAAGCCCCATAAGGAAAGCTGAAGCCCTTCCGAAGCACAAGGAACTAGCATTGACGCGATGCCCACATCGCGGCGTTCCAGACGCGATATCCCCATCGCGACATATAGGACGCGATGGTCTCATCGCGGCACACAAGACTCGATTCTCGTATCGCGCATGAAACCTTCTAAGAGAGGTAAACGTAAGGCTCAAGGTAACTCCACCGCGCCTTAGCTCCAGTAAACAACGAACAGCTCCAGCTTGCCTCAAATCTACTACTAGACCCTCTGGAAGATAAGGCTACATAGGTCCCCTAAATAACTTGCAGCCCAAGGCTGGCCACTCAGAAGCCAAGCCACCTTAACTAAGGCAGTATCTCAATTACTATATAAACACACGATATACCACCAAGGTACGATGATCCTTTACTTTAACAAGATAACACACCTGCCTCTGATATTAACTTAAGCATCGGAGTGTCTTCGCAGGTACCCCCATTTGGTGCAACGTGCCAACTTGAAGGACAAAGCTCAAGATCAGTCCGATAGGAATACTAGGCCCAGGCCAACAACGATATAAGGTGATTCAACCGTGTGTGATTGGGCTCAATACATATAGGCCAGTCCATACTGTATCTGGTCCGATCAGTATGTTTTGTGAGCACGAATTAACCTCCAATTCCTTCATCAAATTTGTAAACATTAAATGATTGCGGAACTAGCCATAAACCAAAGATGCTACTTGTTGGGATTGATAATATCCCAGGGAATCAAATTCGTCATTGTATCAATTTTAAAGATAATACAAACAGTGTGCCTTGTATCTTGGATTGAACAAGGAAAGCTGTACAAACATTTCATTAATTTTACTCTGAGGAAGGAACACATGTTAAGAATGTAACATACTCTCTACAATCATTTCATGCCTGTCGTTTAAAAGCATTTCATATTGGGGGTATTTAGGAAAAAGTGTCACAAACCTAATGAATTACAAGAAATGTATTCAATTAATTACATAATATTATGTGATCGATAATCAACATCTAAAATCTGCTTCCTCAAATACATGGCTGATATAAATGAGCATGAGTTCTGTGAGAGCAAAACCATGACTTAGGATGCACCGAATCCAAAATTTAATGACCATTCCATATCATGACATAGACCATTCCATATTTTTATTACTTTAGATAGTGGCCTATCTGGAGTATAGTATCCCTTAAAGAAACTGCTTGAACTAGAGGACTAGATGATTTGATTATAGACAAAACAAAGTAGGACTTGTTATAATCAGATCATGGAAATTGTGTAGATGTGAGATAAATTGTGTTTATGCATTATGTGTTGAGCATTATTATGTGTATTTAGAATTTTCCTTAACCTAATTAATAGAAGATAAGTGTCACAAATCTAATGAAAGCTGCAGGAATTAGTTGCTTGCTTGTTTCCACTCCATCTTTGTTCACTCGTTTTCTGCCCAAGCCTTACTGAATGAGCGGAGGCCAGCTACTCTCATGTCAACAATTAGGAATAAAGTTTCACCATTAATTCACAGAAAGTGAAAGATTCCATCTTTCATGTACAGGATCCAATTCCTTCTTCACTGGTGCAGCGTTGCTTATTTATATAAAAGGTTGTTCTATGTCATATGCTCTGTCCAAGACATTCAAAGTTAAATTAAAACCACACTACCCTTTTTCTTCTAAATGCTCCTCACCTGTTAAAGGTTTGTGGAAGCAGAAACTTTTGGTACCAATTTTTCACTCAGATTTTGAATTCTCTCCTGCTTTTCCACACACACACACACATATATATATAGTAAAGCAGAATGACAAATGTAAGAGCAGATCACAAACTCACAATCTATTTGACCCTTTTTGTTTTGAGCTATGTGACTCTAATCAAGGTTTGTTGTTGTGTGTTGTCAGGTGGTGGAAGTGAAGGTTGGTTTACACTGTGACGAGTGTATCAAGAAAATTCTCAAGGCCATCAAGAAGATTGAAGGTAACTAATTTGCGAAGCCAAGTATTGACAAAAAATATACTATTGTGTTAAGTCTTTTGTTGCTATAAGCCTATAACGTGTAATTGCTTTAGAATTACAACTTCTTTTGTTAATTTTTATGCTGTGGGCTTGTGCAGATATTGAGACGTATAACGCTGACAAACAGCTGAACAAGGTTATCGTTACAGGGAACGTGACAACAGAAGAAGTGATTAGAGTTCTTCAAAAGATTGGGAAGCATGCTATTCCCTGGGAAGATGTTCAATCCCAACCCAATTGCTGAACTCTCAATTCCATCCTTCAAGTTTTCTTTTCTCTTAGAACCACATGCTCGATGTAAAATTATATATACCAAACAGTTTTTTCCGTAAAATTTTTCGGAAAAAATAACTTTCTCATCATGTTTCTAGAAATTATAATTCCCAAATACTAAAAAAAATGTATCCTCTACCAAAAGTCCAATTTATTTAGGTATAATTATATATGCACACCTCATCAGTTTTGTAATTTTTTGCCTTTATCTCCGAATAAACGCAACTGATAGGTCAGCCATCGTGTGAAACATTTGCTAATCATTGATTCATTTTTTCATTTCTGTGCACTGCGGACATAATCAAACCGCAAAACTGCAATTATTTTTTCCTCCAAATCTAGTTTAGTTAAACGACCTTGCAGAAAATAATGTTATAATAGAAAACACACTAGACTCTTATTTATTTATTGTGTTTCTGGCTCACTAATTAAATCCAAAATTACAGCTTACCAAAAAAAAAAAAAAATCCAAAATTACATTCGTTTATCCTTAATGGATGATTTTTTGAATTTTTTTTAAAACACAAAAAATTAACAGTACAATATATTATATGAATAGAATATATAAAATTGAGAACGTGAAATGAAAAATTAGCACTTTTATGATCAAGAGAGGGAATTAATTTCCCAAGAGAGGAGCCTGTCCTAACTCAACTACATATGCAATATTTCAGAGAAACAACAAAGAAGTTCTTTCCTTTTTCAATCTTTTTGGAAACAAAAGATAATATGGTTTGGTCGAAGATAACAAAAAAGAGTACTGTCCTCCAATGAGGATGAAGCTTCCACGTTGGATTGTATGAAAGAATTTTTAAAAGATTATTTAATAAAAAAAATAAACACATCGAATCAAGTACATTTGAACCTCTTTAACCTGGCTACAATTGGCAACATAATAATTTGGTATTGAACTTCTTTCATTGAACAAATCGAGTTGCCTATATAGGCATTACAAATTTACAAGAAGCTAGAAAACAGCTAGCTGTTATACATTTGAATACAAACTTATCTACAACTATGCTATCTTATCTTCTACTTAACAAACTCAACAAACTAAACAAATAAAATATTCTGCAACAGCTAACAATTACTAATTAGCTAATATTCTGCAACGGCTAAGCTAACGGCTTGATGACTGTTACAAACAGAGTAGTTAATATTCTGCAACAGCTAAGCTAACAGCTTGGTGACTGTTACAAGTAGCCTACTAGTCCGATATGCTTCCTAACACTCCCCCTCAAGTTGGAGCATGGAGACAAGAAATGCCCAACTTGGGAAGGAATGTAAGAAAAGATGTCTTGCCCAATGCTTTAGTAAAAATGTCAGCAAGTTGTGAATGAGATCAAATGTAGACCGTGCGGATGGTGTTGCCTAGGGGATGCTCACACACAAAGTGACAATCTAACTCAATATATTTGGTCCTTTCGTGGAAGACAAGATTGGCAGCTATATGCATTGCTGCTTGATTATTACAAAATAATTCCATTGGGTCAGTTTGATCGACACCCAGGGAGGCAAGGAAAGACTTTAACCAAATGAGCTCCGCTGTAGTTGCAGCCATTGACCTATACTCCGCCTCTGCGGAAGAGCGTGACACATTCAATTGTTTCTTTGTCTTCCACGATATAGGTGAGGTGCCTAGCATAATAAAGAAACCAGAGACAGATCGGCGCGTCAAAGGACAACTTGCCCAATCTGAATCACAATATGCATGAATTTTGAGATTACTCGCACTAGGCAGAAGAATTCCTTGCCCAAGGTTGAGCTTGAGATACCGTAATACTCTTATAGCTGCATCGTAGTGTGCTTCTTTTGGTGACTGCATGAACTGGGACAGAGTGTGCACGGCATAACTAAGATCCGGACGTGTTATGGTGAGATAAACAAGTTTCCCAACAATCCTGCGATAACGTGCAAGGTCACCAAATTCAGGACCATCATCAAGAGCCAGGCGATGGTTTTGTTCTATAGGAGAATGGGCTGGTCGACAATCAGCCAAACCTGTGTCACGCAGAATATCTAACGCATACTTTCTTTGGCACAGAAATATCCCATCCCCATCCTTGTTCCTTGCTATTTCTATAACCAGTTCCTTGGGGACTGTCGTAACCCGTATCATGATTTTTGAAGACGACAAACTTTATTCTCATAACCTAACTGAAGCCTAGCGGAAGTCGCATATAAACTTCCTCGTCAAGATCACCATTAAGGAATGCATTGTGTACGTCCATTTGATGGAGCTCCCACCCCTTTGCGACAGCAAAGGCTCAGAGAGTTCTAACGCTCACCATTTAATACAGGAGCGAAAGTTTCGGTGAAATCCTCACCTGGAATTTGACAATTTCCAGCAATAACTAGTCGCGCCTTATACCTCTCAATACTGCCATTAGAATGGTACTTGATCTTATAGACCTACTTACATGGAAGTGCATGTTTTCCAGACGGCAAGTTGGTAATACGCCAAGTTTTATTTTCTTCAAGAGCATGTATTTCAGCACTCATGGCATCCATCCATTCCTTACTTTTCATTGCCTCCTTAAAAGAACAGGGTTCAGATCCTGCATCTATAGCTGCAACAAAGGCTTGATGTTGTTTAGAAAATTTAGTCAATATGACATAATTATGTATTGGATATCGCATACCTGTGATGGGAGTAGGTGAGGTGACATCATGACTTTGTGCATGTGTTTCAGCCAAGTTACATTGATATTCACTAAGATATTGAGGCAGCTTACGGACACGTGTAGGACGTGACGCTTCCCTTTCCTCGTGAATTGCAAGTACTAGTGTTGTTGGAACTACATCAAGAGGACTTGGCTCTGGTGTGCTCCCCCTTTCTTGCAATGGTTCTCGGTCTGGCTTTCTGGTATCTTCAAGAGAAATGGTAGCTTCATCATCCTCATTGTCAGCAAAAAGGCCAGCCACTGGTCTGTCATCAAAAGGCATTTGCAAAGGAAGTTGAGGAGGTGAGGCAGCGTCTGGTGTTATAGGAAAAGGGAATTCTGTTTCGCAAAACTGCACATCCCTTGACACAAAATATTCATTTGTCTCAAGATCATAGACTTTCCACCCTTTTGTTGGGTTTAGGTTGTGTAGTGGCATAGCAGAGACAACCAAATCCTTTTAAATTGCTATAGTTGGCTGCATTGCCATGAATGAGCTCATGTGGAGTCTTTCCACCAAGGACCTTAGAAGGCGTTCTGTTGATGATGTGTGATGCAGTCAATACACTTTCTCCCCAAAATTCGATTGGCATATGAGCTTGGAACAATAAAGCTCGTGACACATTCAATATATGTGTATGTTTGCGTTCGACTCTCCCATTTTGCTGTGGAGTATATACACATGAGGTCTGATGGAGAATACCTTTGTCACGAAAAAGCTATTGTTAAACTTGAATTCAGTTCCATTGTCTGAACGAATGATTTTTACTGATTTACCAAATTGGTTGTGCACCATACGAAGGAACCTGCGCATTTTCTCATAAGTTTCACTCTTCTCGCTCATATTAAACACACCCACACTGAACGACTAAAATCATCAACTACCGTTAAAAAATAATGAGCACCAGAATGAGAAGAAGTATGATAAGGTCCCCATGTTTCACAATGAAGGAGGTCAAAACAATTTTTACTATGATGATTAATGACAGAAAACATAGTTCTAGTTTGCTTGGCTTAACAGCATACATCACAAGCTTTATTATCTACACTATCAAATTTAAATCTTGAAACAAAAGGAATCATTGAAACAGCTTCAAAAGAGGCATGACCCAGCCGTTTATGCCATAGCTCTAGGGATTCATGGGATCGAACTGCAAACGCTGCTGCTTGGTTCTGCCGAAACACATACACTTCGTCCTTGAGATCACCCAACCCAATCACCATCTTCAGCTTGCGATCCTGCAAAACACAATTCTTATTAGTAAACAACACATCTCCTTCTTGTTGTTGAACCAATTGAGACACTGAGATCAGATTGCATCTCAGAGTGGGTACAAATAATACATCAAATAAAAAAAATGAGGATTGAGTGCAACAGTTCCTTCCTTTATGGCATGTGTTACAACTCCATTAGGTAGCCCTACTGCAAGTGATTCAATATTTTTAACATTCTCCAACAGTTCAAGTGAGCCAGTCATGTGACGAGATGCACCACTATCAATGAGCCAATCATAAGAAACAACGTTACCAGATAATTTTTCAGCATGAGGATAAGGTTTATCCACCAACGAAAGCAAGCGCGTCACCACGTCTGTCACAATTTCTGGAGTTAGAGCAGAAGAGGCAGCAGTATGTTCCTGTGGCTCCTCAGCTTTTGCAGCATTTGCACTATTCTGTGTAGTGTGAAAGTTGTTGGAGTTTGAATAACTTCGTCCTCCTGCAAAGCGCCCACGTCCTCGTCCCCTGCCACCTCCACGATTGGGATAGCCAAAGGCTTGCCAACATTTAGATGATTCATGGTCAGTCTTTCCACAATGCGACAAGGTACACGCTCAGCGAACTTCTCCATCCCTGTAGATGCTATGGTCTGTGCAGCACAACCCATGACGTCAGCTCTTTCACTCTGTGTACGAATTATGGAATGATGTGTTTCCTGCTGTGTGACAATGGCATAAATTTTGTTTAGTGAGGGGAGTTTGTTGAGATATATAGTCCACATTGGTTGTATGTGCAACTAATGTGGAGTTTATAAGGCCTTGGACACTCCCACCCTTTGAGCTAGCTTTTGGAGTGATGACCTCAAAGTTCTTAACATGGTATCAGAGCCTCGCCGCCCCTATTTTCTCTTGTAGCATTTCTTAGCACAGGTAGGCTGGGCCTGTTGCATTGTCCACTCTTCAAGCCCAATGGGCTCTCGCGTGAGGGGGCATGTTGAGATATATAATCCCATATTGGTTGTATGTGCAACTAATGAGGAGTTTATAAGGCCTTGGGCACTCCACCCTTTGAGCTAGCTTTTGGGATGGTGACCTCAAGGTTCTTAACATGTTTAGTGAGGGGAGTGGTGTGGTATTCAATATCTGTGTGCATAGGTGCCTGAATGTGGCTTCATCGAGTCCCATGAGAAACTGGTATACTCTATCATTTTCCTTCTCCTCTTCTACTTCTTTTGCATATGCACATGTATCTCCACAAGCACAAGACTTGTACACTTTACTCCCTTCAAGCTCGTCCCATACGGCTCGCAATTTTGTGTAATATGCTCCCACACTGCAACCCTATTGTTTAATTGCAGACAAACTTGCTTTAAGCTGGTATACTCTTGGAGCATTTGCAACTGAGCAACACTCTTTTAAGTCATCCCAAAGGTCCTTGACATTATCAAAACACTTGATGAATGGCTGGAGCGTAGGATCAATGGTGTTGTATATCCAACCATTGATCATTGAGTTACACATCTCCCATGCATTCCACTCCTCAGTGTTATTCTTTTTCGTCGTCTTCACAGATCCCGTAATGAACCCCAGTTTGTTTTGGCTTCACCTTTTAGCATCACTGTTGTTAGCAAAATCCCGGGATTATTAGACCCTCCCAAATAGAAAAGAGAGCCAGGATCCGAGATTATTTTTATTTTGCTACTTCCCTCCTTGGCCATTTTCAACTGACCAAGCTTTCGCACTTGACTTAAGGCAGCTCACTCAGAGTTTCAATTTTGAGAAAGTGTTTAGTAGAGATCGGGCTCTGATACCATAATAATTTGGTATTGAACTTCTTTCATTGAAGAAATCGAGTTGCCTATATAGGCATTACAAGAAGCTAGAAAACAGCTAGTTGTTATACATTTGAATACAAACTTATCTACAAGTATGTTATCTTATCTTCTACTTAAGAAATTCAAGTAACTAAACAAATAAAATATTCTGTAACAGCTAACAATTACTAATTAGCTAATATTCTGCAACGGCTAAGCTAACGGCTTGATGACTGTTACAAACAGAGTTAATATTCTGTAACAGCTAACAGCTTGGTGACTGTTACAAGTAGCCTACTAGTTCGATATGCTTCCTAACACAACACATATGACATTGAAAACGATTCTGCTCTTTTTGGTTTCACGTTCTACCATCTGAGATCCTGTGTTAAGTGATATTTATTGCAGCAGATAAAATTTAGTACCAAATTTCACTCAGATTATTATCAATGGAAATGACAAATGTAAGATCCTTTAGATTGTTTTCACCCTCGTCACTGAAAGTTCCTTTTGTTTGTGAAGAAAATCCTCAAGCCCATCAAGAAGATAGAAAAGGCAATTAATTCCCCATGCCCATGAACCACAAAATATTTTTTGCCAAAAACCGTAAAATGGTTTACCATTACAATTCACAACTTCTTTCGTATACTTAATAAATTTTAAACCCTCTCTCGCAGATGTTTAGTAGATCTATAACGGGGACACAAGTTGAGTATGAAATTGTCATATTAACCGATAATATCCATTGAGATAAATAAAAGAAGAAAAAGATCAACAAGTGAACAACACTAACATAAGCATGAAAATGGAAATGGAAATGGAAAATCTAAAGAAAGATCTGAAGCCATGGTGTATGGCTCTCTATATGTACATCAAACTGGGTTGTAGTTGTAGTTGTAGTTGTAGTTGTACCATCTACCTGGGCTGGTGAATAGCCCGTGGACTCACTCTGGATTTCACAATCTTTGGAGCCTTTTCCACATACCTTGGCGATTCAACCCACCCTTCAAATCTTCGCCACTTAAGCGATCCCAACGTCACCAACTCTTTCCCTTCTCCTTCATTTTCATTCTCTGCGTTCACCCATCCATCCAAATATTAGATCGATCAAGAAATAGACATAAATAAAAAAAGGGTATATATGATGAGAGAAACAAAAAAGAAATAATTAACTTACGCGGATTTAGTTGATGGACGTGAAAGAGTGAATCTTCGTCGTCCAACTCAAGATCGGAAAAGGAGGCGTCGTCGTTTTGGTCTTCAGGATCTTGAAAGCGCTCGCGGAGCCAGTAGTCGCGAAACCATGGGGAGGAATGTATGAGGGCCCACCATTCGTCCGAGAAATCCTCCACCGTCCGATAAGCTCGGGGCACGAACATGGGAGCATTAGGATTCAAGGTCGACGAGGAAAAGGATCTTGCACCGTAAATCACTTCCATTGCTTTGCTGTGACACTCCGTACGCTAACTCAAGTATATAAGGATGAAAGCTAAAGTGACAAAGTCGATGATGCTTATCTACAATGAGTGGGTCGGTATTATAAGGACAAGTGGGAGCAAAAAGGACACGTACTTGGGCCCAATCTAAGCACGCGGTTTTGGATTAAAGCCTCTGTTTTCGGACTCAGCCTATGGGTCTAGAGTCTAGACATGAATTTTATAAATAGTCATGAATCATGATGTTTGGTTACACGACATCGTTCTTATCCTAATCCATCACCATGTGTTCTGCACACAAGGTTGCACGTCATTTTTGTTGGGCTATCTTAAGCCTGTTATGGTCGGTGACTGTCTGACATAGTTTTTATTATTTTGCTTATCCCAGTTATTATTGGAAGCAATGCTATGATGAGTCATGCTACAAACAAAAACACAAGGTAATCGCCCAACGCAGATTCAGTGCATTTTAATTTGAAATATTATTATTATTTATAAAGAAGGGGATCGGTTGTGATTTTTTCGCCTAAAAAGCAGCGAAGAGTACGACTTTATAGGGACAACGATTAAAATGGAGAACAACTTCTTGAGCTTTTTCTCTTTAATGCTAATCCCAAGTTTATTTGAAGAGTTTCTTAAAAATCTTAATCTTAGATCTCATCTTCTCTATATATTCATTAGTTGTGGGTGGAGGCTAGGTTATATGAGAGAATTTTATTTGACAGATATTTGAGATTATTTGAGCCAAGTTTTATGAGGCATTTGAGAGATCTCTAGAGAGAGTTTGAGTGAAACATCTCTAGGATAGTTTGATTATGGAGCACCACATTGGTGTATTCTAATTATTTTGTAACCATTATTTTCATAGTAGATTTTTGATCTGGACTAGGTCCCGTGGGTGGGTTTTTACTTTTTCATTAAAGAAGATTTTCCACGTTAAATCTGGTTGTGTTCTTCTTATCTCTCTCCTGTTTTTCGTTTTTGATTTTTCCATTGCGCTGCCTGACCTGGTGAAGTTCAGGCCGAGGTATTGCCGAGATTCGAGATCATGATCTTGTTAATTGACTTCCGCACAAAGGCCCCTAAGCCGATCTGAGGGAACTGATTGTTCCCAACAGTGGTATCAGAGCCCGAGTTCGACGGGTTCTGTAGGAGACGAGATGGAGACCAGTGGCATAACCAATGATGGAGACATGTTCAAGTTGACCGCAGACAACTTCATTTATTGGAGACCGATGATGGAAGATCATCTCTACTGCAAAGATCTACATGAGCCCATTACCCTTGATGAGAGACCGGCAGACAAAAATGATAAGGAGTGGGAGATCCTGAGTCGGAAGGCGGTAGCCACGATCAGGAAATATATTGATAAAAACCTCTTTGAGCACGTGTCCGAATTCACGAACGCGTTGTGGACGAAGATGGAGTCCATGATTCAGAAGAAGACTCCCAAGAATAAAGCATACCTGGTTCACCGACTTGTGAAGCTTGAATACAAGGACGACATGAGCATGATTGAACACATCAACACCAATAAAGGTATTGTGAATCAGCTGTCAAAAGCTGAGATGAAAATTGATAATGAGATTGTTCTGTCTGAAAGACAGATATGTCCAACCGGTGGCTGGTATATTTTATGTAGGATCTAGGTGCCCTCTCTCAAGTATCTATGAATGAGATACCCTTGAGGGTAGGCCGATCACTATGCACAATAATAATCGACATAGTCAAGGCGTGGGGTGTGTGCACAGTGACAAGTTAAGAAAGAGGATTTTTCGAGTGTGTGTACCTTATTAGTGTAACCCCTTATTTATAGATGGGTTACATGAAATATTATTATTTTATAAAGAAGGGGATCGGTTATGATTTTTTCGCCTAAAAAACAGCGAAGAGTACGACTTTATAGGGACAACGATTAAAATGGACAACGGATTTTTTTAATATGGACCGGCCCCATCATTCATAGGATGCACCTTTACCAAAAAAAAAAAAAAAAATTCATTTAAACCTTTATCTTCTTTACAAATTCCATCAGAATTCTTTTTTTTTTCATTTCTAGCTAAGGACCATTGGGTCCCGGCCCACAATAAACAACCTCATGGACAACAAGTTCTTTAGTTTTTTCCTTCAATGCTAACCCCAAGTCTATTTGAAGGGTTTTCTAAAAATCTTAACCCTAGATCTCACTTTCTCTATATATTCATTAGTTGTGGGTGGAGGCTAGGTCATATGAGAGAATTTTATTTGACAGATATTTGATATTATTTGAGCAAAGCTTTATGCTTTGCATTTAAGAGATCTCTAGAGAGAGTTTGAGTAAAACATCTCTAAGGTAGTTTGATTATCACCATTGTTGGAGAGGTTGAGTTAACCACCACATTGGTGTATTCTGATTATTTTGTAACCACTATTTTCATAGTAGATTTTTTATCTGGACTAGGTCCCGTGAGTGGGTTTTTACTTCTTCATTAAAGAAGGTTTTCCACGTTAGATATGGTTGTGTTCTTCTTATCTCTCTCCTATTTTTCGTTTTTGATTCTTCCGCTGCGCTGCCTGACCTGGTGAAGTTCAGGCCGAGGTATTGCCGAGATTCGAGATCATGATCTTGTTAATTGACTTCCGCACAAAGGCCCCTGAGCCGATCTGAGGGAACTGATTGTTCCCAACAGTGGTGTCAGAGCCCGAGTTCGACGGGTTCTGAGGGAGACGAGATGGAGACCAGTGGCATAACCAATGATGGAGACATGTTCAAGTTGACCGCAGACAACTTCACTTATTGGAGACCGATGATGGAAGATCATCTCTACTGCAAAGATCTACATGAGCCCATTACCCTTGATGAGAGACCGGCAGGCAAAAATGATAAGGAGTGGGAGATCCTGAGTCGGAAGGCGGTAGCCATGATCAGGAAATATATTGATAAAAACCTCTTTGAGCACGTGTCTGAATTCATGAACGCGTATGAGTTGTGGACGAAGCTGGAGTCCATGATTCAGAAGAAGACTCCCAGGAATAAAGCATACCTGGTTCACCGACTTGTGAAGCTTGAATACAAGGACGGCAAGAGCATGATTGAACACATCAACACCTATAAAGGTATTGTGGATAAGTTGTCAAAAGCTGAGATGAAAATTGATAATGAGATGCAGGCTTTGCTGCTGTTGAGCTCACTGCCAGAAAGCTGGGATACTCTGGTGGTGACTTTGAGTAATTCAGCTCCAGAAGAAAAGTTGAAGATGGATGTTGTGACAGACAGCCTCCTGAGCGAAGAAGTCAGGAGAAGAGAACGAGGTGTTTCGAGCACGTCTGAGGCCAACGTTGCTAAGAACAAAGGGAAATCTGACTCCCGGGGTAGAAGCAAAAGCAGGGGTAGAGGTCGTGACAGAAAAGAAAAGTCCAGAGGTCGGTCAAAGCCGAAATATGAGTTGAAGTGCTTTTACTGTGGAATGACAGGCCATAAGAAGCCAGACTGCTGGACCCTGCAAAATGATGAGAAGAACGGCTCTGTGAAGCCGGATCAAATTATTCCCAAGAATAGGGAAGACAAGAGCACCACTGCGGTGGCTGCCAACTCGGATGCCGAGATATTCCTCCTTGGTGAGGATAATTATTTGAATGTTGCATATGATGACTGCACTTGGATTGTTGACTCCAGTGCCTCCTTCCACGTTACTCCTCACAAAGATTTTTTCTCCTCTTACCGAGGTGGTGATTTTGGAGTCGTGAAGATGGAAAATCAAGTGACCAGCAAGATTGTTGGTGTCGGTGATGTAACTCTGACCACGGATGTCGGATGCCGACTTGTGTTGAAAGATGTAAGGCATGTTCCTGACATGCGTTTGAACCTAATCTCAGTAGGCAAACTTGATGATGCCGGGTTAGTGAACTACTTCGGTAGTGTTAGATGGAAGCTGGCCAAGGGAAACTTGGTCGTGGCCCGAGGTAAGAAGGAAGGCTCCTTGTATGTGATGCAAGGAAAGATCAATGGCGGAGAAGCCAATTCTGTCCGAGATGAACCTATCTTAGAGCTATGGCACAAGCGCCTCGGCCACATGAGCGAGAAAGAGCTCCAGATCCTAAACAAGAAAGGATTATTGATCGGGTTGAAAGGCCAAGCGTTGGAGAGTTGCACGCATTGCCTAGCTAGAAAGCAGCACCGGGTTTCTTTTGTGAGACCGGATCAACCTAGACGACGCAGGTATATTCTTGACCTCGTCCATACTGATGTTTGCTCCATGTCGGAAAGATCCCTTGGAGGAGCTCAGTACTTTGTTTCATTCATTGATGACCATTCCCGCAAAGTGTGGGTATATCTGTTAAAGTCTAAAGACCAGGTACTCCAATCCTTTAAAGAATTCCATACAATGGTTGAAAGGGAGACTGGCAAGAAATTGAAGGTGGTCCGATCTGATAATGGTGGTGAGTATTGCGGCCTTTTTGATGCATATTACAGAGCGGCCGGGATCGGACTTGAGAAGACGCACCCCAAGACACCTCAGCTGAATGAACTGGCTGAACGGATGAACATAACTATTGAAGAGAAGGTCCGAAGCATGTTATCCAATGCCAGATTGCCGAAATCATTCTGGGGAGAAGCCGTCAAAACTGTTGTTGACTTGATCAACCTCTCACAATCACGGCCACTTGAAGGAGAAATTCCTGAAGAAGTCTGGACAGGTCGAAAAGAGGCTATAATCAATTGAAAGTGTTTAGATGCCGAGCTTTTGTGCATATCCCTAAAGATGAAAGGGCAAAACTTGATGCAAAGACCAAAGAATGCATTTATCTTGGTTCGCCGAGATGTGAGTTCGGGTTCCGACTTTGGGATCCAATCAATAAGAAGATCGTGAGAAGCCGAGATGTGATCTTTCATGAGCATGAGAATATTCATGACATCTCGAAGCCCAAAGTTCGGGTTACTGTCAGACGTGAAGAACCCATCCCTCCTGTCCGAGCTGAAGCAGGGGGAGAAAATCAAAAAAATGAAGAAAATGATGATCAGCAACAAGCTGAAGATGACCAAGACATTGAGGTCCGAGTTGATGATGAGATCCGGGATGAGAATGATGAACCGGGT